TGGAAAATAAGTATTTGGTCAATATCAAAAGTTCATCTCAATACTTTGTTATATATATTGTCTGATTTTTAAAGAATTTATTTGCAAATCATGGTGGAAAATAAGTATTTGGTCAATATCAAAAGTTCATCTCAATACTTTGTTATATATATTGTCTGATTTTTAAAGAATTTATTTGCAAATCATGGTGGAAAATAAGTATTTGGTCAATATCAAAAGTTCATCTCAATACTTTGTTATATATATTGTCTGATTTTTAAAGAATTTATTTGCAAATCATGGTGGAAAATAAGTATTTGGTCAATATCAAAAGTTCATCTCAATACTTTGTTATATATATTGTCTGATTTTTAAAGAATTTATTTGCAAATCATGGTGGAAAATAAGTATTTGGTCAATATCAAAAGTTCATCTCAATACTTTGTTATATATATTGTCTGATTTTTAAAGAATTTATTTGCAAATCATGGTGGAAAATAAGTATTTGGTCAATATCAAAAGTTCATCTCAATACTTTGTTATATATGAGAACTTGCACAATTGGTGGCTGACTAAATACTTTTTTGCCCCACTGTATGTGCAAGGCAGAAAAGGGATTTGAGAAGTATGAAACTCTCAGCAACGTAACATCCAGAAGAGCCATATTTTTCTTTTTTTTTTTTTTTTGGTTAAAAATATAATTTCACCATCATCTGTCATGCTTCTTTTCTGTCCGTTTGTAAGGGTGCCTATTTGATGTATCTGTTGAAACATTTCAACTGGAGATGAAATACATACTTGTAGATGTCATCTACAGAGATTAGACACAGATTAGTAGTTGATGTTCAATGAAGCCTGTGTATTTTGGTTACAGTTAAATAGCAATTTAAAAACATAGTTTATATTGCTATTGTTTCTCTGACATCTATGCCGTGGATTATTTTTCAGCTGCCTTACCCAAGTAACGTTGCCTCTTGTTATTCAAAACATTAAATATTTCAATGTTATAAGGGAAAGAGTTTTTTGGTCTTTGCGGAAATCATGTTCACATGCACGAGAGTTGTCATAGATTTATGCATTTTGTTAGAACAATAACAGAAATGCAATACTTTCATTCCTAGATAGACAAGTATTTGCAGATTGACTGATCTGAATTGAAGAATCAGATAATTTTATAGCTTATAAGCGGGTAGTATTTGAAACATTGGTTCCTTCAATTTTCAAAAAGAGCATTTATAAATGTTGGGACAAGGAAACACCTTTGCTTTCAATATTTTAATCTTGTAAGGTTGACATTAAAAAAAAACACAAATTATTCCGTGCGTCTACTGGAAGACTGACAAATCAGCCATGTTGCTTATGAGATAACCAGTTGGTGGCCATTTTTTAAAAGGATATTTTGGTATTGGTGCCTGTATCTTCATGGGTTGCTAACCTCTGTACTGAAAGGGATGTAGGAAGATATAAGTTCTAATGGCATTACAAGCATAAGCTGAATGCAGCATATGTAAGTTGGCATCTCAGAAGACTGTTTCACTTGAGTGGAGCACATATGTTTCAGTAAAATCAGCGGGAACTACTGTGTAAAGTTTCATAGGTTTGTTTCCTCATAATGAGTGACAGAATATATTTGTTGATAGTGAGACTTATCTGCTGATTTATGTAAATTGTTTTCCTGGGGATTTGCAAATGTTACAATGTATACAATTGCCTTTTTTATGTACCTGATAAATAAAGTCAACCGTTGTCCTGCTAAACTTCTGAATTAATATATTGAATTGCTACCAGAGCTCAAGTGCTTATCATAAGAATGAGCCCAACTGTGACAACTGACAATCAATGAATAGTCTGCAGATACTACAGTTTTTAGTTTCTATGTATTATCATGTTTTTCTATAGAAATATTCAATATTATGACAATCCCCCAACATATTTTTTTATTTCACAACTCTTTAAAGTAAGAATGCCTTTATTCCAAACTTTTGTTGAAGCTCTTGTTTGTTTGGTGAATACAAGGAATATTTGTTTTCACTTATTCAATAGTTTTAATATTTGAAACCTCTTTGTTGTACACATTGCTTTTTGTTGTACAGTTAATCTAACTCAACTTCTAGATTCTCTTTATCCTCCAGTCTGGTTACAAAGTGATCACAACAGCTTATCTGCAGATATTTTATCAGCCTTGAGTAAAACGGTATTACATCCCAGTGTTGGGACAGTGAATCATTCCCGTGCGGAACAATTCCCACTGTTCATTGTTTAATTTCATTTTATTGTTAGCAGTTGACGTTCCAGGTATATTGCAGTAAATTTAAAATGCTTACTAAGAGACAAAGAAAGTCTTACTAAGAAACTCTTACTAATAAAGTTGGGCAGTGTAAGACCAAAGGTCCATATAGTTACCAGTCATATACTTCTGAGAATACCATAAACCAGGAATAATGACAATAGCTCTCCCCTGCCAGTCCCCCCTTCTTAGTTATTAGTACCCAGTGAGCATAGACTCTAATATTCTATTCTATTCTATATTACAGCTTATAGAGAAATGAATGCTTAATTCAATTTTAAAGCCCACTTCCATCAGTACATGTGACTGTGATTTTCATAAATTGTTACTTCATGAAGTATATTTACATATATAGAACGTTTAAGTCAGGTGTTGAGGTGGTCCATTTAGTTCTATTGTGTCTACTCTTGATTGTTGGGTTCTCTAGATATTGTGGCAGAAGATGTTTCCCAAAATATTAAGCAAAATATTAATATTAATTCCCAAATTATTAATTATATTAATAATTAAATATTATCTGTTTAAAAGATTTGGCTGTACTTAGTTTCCAGTACTTTCCTCATGCAAAGTATTTGCTTAAACCTTAAAATTATGGCCATCCCCTACTTCTCTTGATATAGAAACTACTGCCATCAGTTTCATTGGCTGATCACAATTTAGTGAACAACTTCATCCTAGTATTATGTATGAGAGAGAGAGAGAAAAAATTTCTACTTTCTCCACATCATCAATTATTTTATAAACTTCTTTTATATCCCTTTCTGGCCCTCTCTAAATGTTTTATTGTTTCCTTGAGAAAAGATGCTCTTACCCTTTGATTATTTTTGGCACTCTTTTGTCATTTTCTAGCCCTTACAGTATCCTGGATTTTAGTAACTTCCAAAGCTAAGTTGATATTTTCATATATTCACTAGAGGCGAATATGTGTAGCTCAGGGTTGAATTGTGTATTCACCTCAGCCTAAAAATCATTTAGTTCTTGTCTATTTAAATCCTATTGGGTTTTTTTTTTTTTTACCCTTTCAAAATTGTCAGTTTGTTTGCTGTTTTCTTGCTAGTTCACTTTGGTGAACTATTTAGGAAGTCTTCATAGCCCACTTGCTTTTATTTTCCAAGGTAATTTGGCCATTTCTATATTCATGATTCTAGATAATTTATGAACAAGTCCTTCCTCCCAGCTTATTTCATCTCTGCTGTATAGCTGACTGTTTGGGTAGAAAAAGTAGCCTTTCTGAACTGTTTATCCGGAAGATAAATAGTTATTTCTTACTGGACTATGTTAGAACTGCACTTTTCAAAGGTTGTTCTTGATTCCCTTCCCGTCCGTTATTTATAAGAGGTTTTTTTTTTTAACGTGTTTATATATTTCTAACAAAAGCAAGTGTGACAATGATATCATTGAAGTGATGGGATGAAAAGAATGTCCCCACTTTTGGGTGGTCGAGGGGTGGTTTCATACTTAACATTTCTTTTTTAAAAGTGAAAACTACTTCTGAGTTTTCTGAAAGTGTGTTTCTGAATTTCAGCAGAATGATTGTGTGTTGCTGTTGCAGGGTGGTGGTGGTTGGCTGTGTATGGCATAGTATGCAGACTATGGTTTTCAGACTTCATACTAGGCGAAGAATCATTGCAGTCAACACGTCCATCACAAATTTATCTTTTTCTGGTTTATTTATTGATCCTCGTGCATCCTGGCCGTGTGAGTGAATTGTTTCACTTTTTTTCAAAAGTGTATCCCGTTCTGAGATTTTTTGTTCTTGCTCATTTTCTTAGCCTGATTTATACCAATATATGGGTCTGTTTCCATGTTATCCTCTTTGCTGAGAGTAAAGCCTAGAATATAGTATTAATGTGTTTTCAGTTGCTTTAGTAACTTTGGTAATAAGTTTAAACACTTGGCCTAGTTGAATGTATAAACAAAATGCCATTAAGTCAGCTCAAACTTGATGAGGGTAATCTCATTGATATTGGGCTGGGGGTGGGGGACACAGTGAATTGGGCAGGTAAAAGCCTGCTTCCCTGTCAGTCCAGTGTAACACTTTTCAGCAAAACAATGCCATAAAGCATTTTGGAGGACCCTGCTGAATGTGGTACGCTTTAAAAAAACAAAACAAAACAGTAGAACTCTGAGTACAGAGTTCTTAATTTATTATGATTATTGATTTTTACTTGTATACTTTATATTCATATATATCTTATAGGAAAGAAAGTTTTTGTGATCTATTCTTACCATGGGTACCTTTAAAAAAAAAAAAGTACTTATTTCCAGTGTGTTTAGAGATCCCTCTAGTGGTTTTTACATGTGATTAACAGTATTGTTAGAACATTTTAAAGTAATTCCTCTAAATAATATGCAGTATATGTATTCTTACTGTCTAGAATATTGTATTTTGTAACATTCAGTCAATCAGTATCAGTTGTAAAGAAAATTTTAGTGAAATGCTGCAGTGTTTCATCTTTTTGAGGTACCTTATTTTTATGGCTTATTTTTCCATACTTTTGTAATTGAGGATGATCGTGATAACACTTTAATGGGCAGTTAGTTATATCAGTTGGTTAAACAAGGAAACTAGAATTCATTCCATTGACCTTTACAATTTCTGGGCTGAAATTTCATGTAAAAAGTGTCATGCATAAATATTTATTCAGCTGATAATACTGTATCATTTAGTGACAGATTAAAATGTGCTTAGAATTTAGGCATTCTTTAACAGATATTATGAATTCTTCTTTAGGAAGAAAATGACTCCATTAATGTATGCAGCCCGAGAAGGCCATCCTCAAGTTGTTGCTCTCCTTGTTGCCCGTGGATCACAAGTAAATGCCCAAGATGAAAGCGGTTACACTGTGAGCTTTCTATATAATCCTAACTTGATTATCTGCTTCCCTTTATAAAAGTTCAAATATCTCAGCAAGGTAGACTTTAAAGATACCTTTTCTTCCATCACTTGCAATTTTTACTGCACCAGCACTGCCATTGTGAAGTGGAAAATAAGTGGAGAGTGTAATGCAGTCTTAGGTTTAATATTTAAACAAAAAACAGTGAGGTGAAGAAAGCCATATTCTAGTCCTCCTCAAAAGTGTGACATAGTTTTATTTATTTATTAATTTATCAAATTTATATGGTCGCCCATCTCACACAAGGTGACTCTAGGTGGAATACAGTAAAGACAACAATTTACTCATTTTATAAAACCAATCAGAATAATTTAATTATTAAGAATAAGAGGGTTAAAATCAGAATGTTATGTGTGATGTAGCCACTGCATGGGTTCCCTGCTCCAGGTTTGATGAAAAAAACATGTTTTGAGGGCTTTCCAGAATGCCAAAAGGGTTGCAGTTAACCTCACCTTAGGGAGGAGGATGTTCCAAAGGGTGGGTGCTACCGAAGAAAAGGGGTGTCTCCTAGGTCCTGTCAGCAAATGGGACCCGCAACACGCCTCTTCTGCAAGACCTGATGGGACAGGTAGATGTAATCAGGGAGAGGCGGTTCTTCAGATAATCTGGCCCCATACCTTTTAGAGCTTTAAAGGTCAAAAACAGCACCTTGAATTAGACCCAGAACAAACTGATAACCAATGCAGTTCATGAGTCAGAGGTGCAATGTGTGTCCTTCTAAGGGCACGCATAACTGCCCATACTGCTTCATTTTGCACCAATTGAAGCTTCCAGATACTCTTCAGGGCCAGCCCCATGTACAACACATTACAGTAGTCACCCTGGAGATGACCAGGGTGTGAATAACTCTGAACAGAGCCTCATGACCCAGGAATGGGTGCAACTGGCACACAATGCTTTGCACAATTTGCATCATTGTCTGTGATCCTCACAAGTAGAACAATGTCTTACCCCATTTTGATTTGAATGATCTTTGTGCTTCCATGTAGCACCTCAACTCAAACCACAGATATCTTTAGCTTCTCTTTATTATCATCTTTCCTTTCTTCTCCATTCTTCTTATTTTCAGTATTTTTTTAAGCTTTGGTAAGGCGTGATGTTGAATTGAGATGTGAAGAAAAAGCAAACTATTTTACAAGTATTACAGAGTGGAATCATTCCGAAGTAATTTATATTCTGAAATTTTTCCTTTTATTATTATAAAATAAATACCATCACAATTGCTAATAAATTGTTACAGGCATTAGCATGGGCAGCGCGCCAAGGCCATAAAAAAGTAGTGTTCAAGCTGCTTGAACTAGGAGCTGATAAATCAATACAGACAAAAGATGGCCAGACCCCAGGAGAGATTGCAAAGAACAACAGGCATTCAGAGGTACTGTTCTATGTGAAGTGTCAGTGAGCTGAGATGGTTTTCTTGTCATTGAGTACATAACATTCTGTATCTTAAGGTGTTTTAAATAAAACTGGTATAAATTATTTAGTATTGATATTAATATGAAAGTGCAGTGCCATTAATTTTTATGCAATTCTCAGTCATGTTAAGTGTATTCGTGTGTTACGTCTTCTGTTTTTAAACATGCTGCATTGTTATTTCTATGGCTATTGTGTGTGTGCGCGCGCGCGCAAATATATTCATTCACCTGTTATTCAAAAAACTTACTTAAAATTTCTGTTAGTGAACATCTGCATTTGTTTCTGCTGAGATATTAATTTAGAGTAAAACAAAAAACAGGAACAATCAACTTAATATAAAAAGAAGAAAAGGTAAAAATACCATGAGGAATTAAGTATGCCTGAAAATGCAGTGTACACACTTGGCCTTTTATTAGGGAATTGTTCCATTAAAAATAAAATAAGGTGTAACTGAGGGACCTGGACAACAAAAAAACCTGCAAGCAAGGCAAAGGTAGTTTAACAGGTAGTTTAACAAATGAAATTTAGCTTTTTAAAAAAACTCATGTGGATATAATGATTCTTTCTTCCTTTACTGGGGAGAAACTATGCATCCAATTTACTGGCATATTCCCTTTTCGTGTGTGTATTTTCAAGTCATTGACTCCTGGTGACTGGACTAATCCCTGGAGTGTTCTTGGCAACATTTTTGGAAGTGGTTTGCCATTGCCTTCTTCCTAGGGCTCAGGGGGAGTGACTGGCCCAAGGTCATTCCGCTGGCTTCGTGCCTAAGGCAGGCTGCTGGTCTTCCAGTTTCTAGCCTGGTACTTTAACCACTACTCCAAGCTGGGTCTCTGTATTCCCTATAAGTGTTTTTTTTTTTCAAAGTATCTGCATTTTGTTTCTTTAAATGGGATATAAACTACTTAATATTCCCATTATATAGTTTATATCCCATTTTAAAAAATAGAATGCGGGTAGTTTAGAAATGTTTGGAGCACTTTGACAGATTTGGTTGCCATAAATCTCTCTGTAGTTCTGTTTTCTCTGAAATAATGCTTCCAAGCATCTCAAAGCATGTTGTTTTCACAGGCTAAATTAACTGAAGTTCATTACATAAGGCTATGCTATATATTCATAAAGAACCAATTCCCAGTTTCTAAGATTTCCTATAATGAACATGCTTTTCTTGATACTCAATAAGTTCAATAAATCCTTTAATGTCTTGGAAGTGAGAATTGAGAAATAATTACAGATAATTTCCTCTGAAAAGATGAATTAGAAATTGTTCTATTTGTATTAGAAAACCATTTTCACTATATCACAGGTGAATTTCCAATTTTCTTTTATTATTTAATGAACATACTGCTAAAGGTACAAAAATGATGAATCGTTTTGTATAATTTTCTTAGCTTTTCAGTTTACTTTCTCTGACTGCAAATCCCTTCCAAAGAAAGTTCCAGAACTTGGCTAAAGAAGGACCAATTCACAGACTTATGAACACAGTCCCAGATGCCCTCACAAGCCATAAAAGCAGGTTAAGAAATATAATAGTACCTCAGACTTCAGAACTCATTATGCTGTGGAAGTTTTGTCTGTAGTTTAAATCTGTGTTGCGGACTAAAAACTGCTGTTAGAGCTGAAATGGACCATTTTTTTCAGATCTATCAAAAATTCTATCAGCTACAGTTTTGCCTTAACCAGATTGTGCTTGAATGTTTAAATTGATATAGAGTCTTTGGAAATTAAGGATCTACGTATGCATTAAGCCCAAATGCTGGATTATTAGGAACATAATTATCTACTGGCTTCTAGTATACTATGTAGTAATTTAACTGGCATGCACCAAATTCATTGAGACTTTTGGAAGAAATTAATGCAGCTTTTTTAAAGCATGCATTTTTAAACTTCAACATAATTTTATGTTGAATCAGGTATGTATTTGATCCAATTTTTGGATCAAGTATGTACTTTCAAATTTTCTGTTCACTGTGGTCTGTAATGGAAAGTTTACAGCCCAATATTTAGGGCATTTTTGTCTTTCTGTGTACTTAAACTGTAGGTTAATATACCGTATTTTTCCAGCTATAAGACGATACTTTTTTCTAAAATCCTTACCCTAAAAACTGAAGGGCGTCTTATTCA